AAGCACAAGTTTAACTCAAAAACATAACCAAATCATAAGCTAGAATGGTACAAAATGATATACAATTATGAACCGATCATGCTGTCAGCATAGGTCCTACCAAGTCGATGGCCCATTGCATGAAAGGCCATGGACTGTTCTGCATATGGTATTCCTCAGCTGGCAAGCCAGGGATCGGCTTATATTGTTGGCACCGATCACATCTTTGAGCATACTCCGTGGAGCCTTGGCACATGGTAGGCCAGAAGTAGCCAATGCTGAGAGCCTTCTGGGCAAGCGATCTGCCCCCAGTGTGATTTCCACATTCGCCGTCGTGTATTCCCCAAAGAACCTCAAGCGTCTGCGGGTACTTGATGAAAGTAAGGTGAGGGCCGGAGTATGATTTGTGAACAAGCATGTCACCTTTCATGTAGTACCTCGTAGCCTTCAGTTTGATTTTCCGAGCCTCGGACTTGTCCTTGGGTAAGTTTTCGTTAACCAGGTAGTCAATGATGGGGCCTTGCCAGCTAGGATCCTCGTCGATCTGCATCAAGTTTGGCTGTTCTGCCTCTTCTATGCTTGGCTGGTCAAGGTGCTCGACCGGGATAAAGCGTCCGAAGTGGGTATCAAGCGCTGATCCTAAGCTCGCCAGTGCGTCTGCGTGCGCGTTCTCTGCTCGAGGCACTTGTTGGATGGTGAAGGTAGGAAACGCCTTCAACAGCTCTTGGACTTTGTCAAGGTACAAGATCATCCTTGGGTGCTTTGCCATGTATTCTCCTGAGGCTTGATTTGTGATCAGCTGGGAATCTGAGTAGATGGCCAGCTTCTTGATTGACAGCTCATTTGCCAAGCGCAAGCCAGCGAGCAATGCCTCGTATTCTGCCTCGTTGTTTGAGGCTGGGAAGCCAAGCGTGATAGCTTGCTCCAACAGGGTTCCATCCGGAGTGATGATGACGATGCCTGCTCCAGCTCCCTTTTGGTTCGACGCTCCGTCTATGCGCAACTGCCACATGTCTCTGGGTTGGTCAGGTTCATCGGAGGTCTTGTCTGCTCTCGAACTTTCCTTCTTTTTGCTGACCAGCTTCTCTTCTTCAGCCAATGGCGTGAATTCTGCGACAAAGTCTGCCAAAGCCTGGGCTTTTATTGCAATCTTCGGCCGGTAGAGGAGGTCGTATTGGCTTATCTCTATAGCCTACTTCATGAGTCGTTGAGACGATTCAGGGCTGTGCAGGATTGACCTCAAAGGAAAGTCGGTCATGACGATGACTCGATGAGCTTGGTAGTAGGGTCGTAGCTTTCTCGCGGAAACTACAAGGGCCAAAATGAGCTTCTCCAATTTTGGGTAGCGAGTCTCTGCATCGAGAAGGGCTTTTGACGTGTAGAATACCGGATGTTGGGCCCCCAGTTCTTCTCGGATGAGAGCTGAGCTGATGGCTGAGTTGGACACTGCCAGGTACACGAACAAATCTTCACCAGGAACTGGCTTCGAGAGCAGGGGAGGTGAAGTGAGGTAAGTCTTTAGATTCTGGAAAGCTTCTTCGCACTCCTCGTCCCATTTATCTATTTGCCCCTTCTTTAAAGCTTTGAAGAATGGTCTGCACTTGTCGGTGGATCTCGACAGGAATCGGTTGAGGGGCGCTGCTCTACCCGTCAGACTTTGTATTTCCTTTACTGTTGAAGGTGACTTCATCTCGAGAATGGCCTTGATTTGGCGTGGGTGCGCCTCGATACCTCGTTGAGTTACTAGGTATCCCAGGAATCGGCCGGACGATACACCGAACGTGCATTTACTTGGATTCAACTTCATGCGATACTGGCGGAGCAAGCTGAACGCCTCAATGAGGTTCTTGATGTGGTCTGCTCGCTTAGGGGCTTTGACCAGGATGTCGTCCACGTAGACTTCCATGGTTTTGCCGATCTGCTCCTTGAAAATTTTATTCACAAGCCTTTAGTAGGTTGCTCCAGCGTTCTTCAGCCCAAAAGGCATGACCTTGTAGCAGTAGGTCCCTCTCTCTATGATGAAAGCAGTCTTCTCCTTGTCATCCTCGTACATTAGAATTTGATTATAACCGGAGTAGGCGTCCATGAAGCTGAGTAGCTGATTGCCGGAAGTTGAATCCACGAGCTGGTCGATTCTCGGCAATGGGAAGTTGTCTTTAGGGCAAGCTTTATTGAGGTCGGTGTAATCGACACAAACTCTCCATTTGCCCTTTTCTTACTTCGCCACCAGTACAACGTT